ATGGCTCATATCATTATTAGTCTACCTGTCTGTTTCTCTCACTAGATTAACAGCTTTTGAAAGCAGAGATCAGGTTTTTATTCATCTTTATATCTCCTCTGACTACTCTAGTGCCTGGTACATAGCAACCATGGACATTTATTACTCAGGTCACACACTCACCCTTTCCTGAAACACTTTCCCTTGCCCTCTAGAACTCATGGTCAATCACAAGTAAAATTTCTTATATCCTTAACATTTTCAGTTAATATTCCCTTCATCTTCTTGTTCTTCCTCAATGTCTCTGCTTCCCTGCAGCCCTCTTAGGTGGGGCCTGTTTTCCCTCCCATGTGTCACACACTAGGGGGTTTGAAGGCAGTCAGTGACCTCCCTGCTTCTCATGGCTTCTCTCAGACTGTCTTCATTCCCTCCCTCTTCTCTAAGAAACACTCAGCTTGGGCTCCCATGACATCAGATTAAATCACCCATACCCCTTGTTGTGAAAGGCATTTACTGATCCCTGGGTCTCTGCCTTTCATTCCATAAAGATTTTGACCACAGATTCACAACCACCCCTTCTAACTCTCCTCCAGTAGTGATTTCAATATCTAGATAGTTCAGTCTTCCAAAATCATGGCCTCTTAGTTCCTTGACCTCCTCTCTTCCAATGACCTTGACCTCCATCCTCTCTCAATCACTTATTCCCATGGTCATACCTTACATCTTGTCACCACCAATATATTGCAACCCTCTATAATCTTAGTTTCAAACATTCTGCTACCCAATCACCACCTCCTATATTTCTAGCTCTCTTACTCTTGCCTCCGACTCCAAAACTCCTTTGCCACCGGACTTACAATTTATTGTAATTACTACTCCTCACTGTTCCTCACCCATCTCACGTTCTCAGTTCTCTCCCTACTCAGTTAAAATTTAATGGTCAATCACTTTAGTTGCTCTCTTGCCTCTCTCCTGATTTATCATACTCTCATACTTGCTATAGCCTTAATTAAGTCCCACTTTCTACCTGATACACGCCCAAATCGAGAAAGCTAAATGTGGCTGGAGAAAGAATTGCCTCTCTTTAAATTCATAAGCATTAATAATCTCAAGAAGGTCTTTAACACCCAGCATTCAATACTCATTTCCCTAATCCAGTCAATCTCTCTACTCTCCTAGATGACTATTTCATAGATTTAATCCCTCCCCAAACCTTCAATATCTCTACCCTCTTTGCTTCCCATATTACTAAGGAAATAGAAACAATTAGAAGAAAACTTCTACAAGCTCCACCACATCTCCAAGCGTATCTGTACCTCTGTTCATGTCCTATGGCTCGCCTCCTCTTCCTATGAATAAATTGCACGTTTCTAGCTAAAGCTACCCACCTATCTTAGTTTCAATTCCTCACCTACTCGTTGATATCACTCCTTGAATGTTCCCTCTTTCTCATTCACCATTTATTTCCCCCTCTCTGTTGAGTCATTCCCATCATTATATAAACACACTATCACTTACATATTATTAAAAAAATCTACATGTCCTGACCCCATTTACCCATGCAGATACTACGCATTTCTTGCTTTAAGGAAAACTTCTTCAAAGATTAATTATACTCACTACCTCAAATCACTCTCTTCTCATTCTAAGTTGAACCCACTCCAGTAAAGCTTTGTGCTCTCAGTGCTTCATGGAATGTACACTTATCAAGGTGAGCAATGAATTCAATGTTGCTAAATTTAGTGGTTGATTCTCAGTCCTATCTTACTTGGTTATCAACAGCATTTGACATAGTAGATCAACTCTACTCTTCCTTGAAACACTTCACTTTCTAGAAGATTTGGCTTCCAAGAAAATGTATGCGCCTGATTTTCCTTCTCATCTCCAGCTACTCCTTCTCAATTTCTTTTGCTGATTTCTTCTTCTCTCCATGACCTCTATATGTTAGAGTATTCCACGTTTTTGGACTTGGACTATGTTTTCTATCTACACTCACTCCCTTGGTGAGCTCATTAATCCCATGGCTTTAAATATCATATCTATACCGATGACTTAGGTCCTGGCTCAGACTCTCCCTTAAAATCTAAATCCACATACCCTAGTGCCTATTTGTCATCTCCAATCGAATGTCTAATAGGTCCCCAAAGTTCAACGTGTTTAAAATGGATCTTTTGATTTCTTACATTTCAGCTAAACAAACAAACAAACCCCTTGCCCCATTCACAGTCTTCCTCACTGAAATTAATGGTAACTCCATTTGTCCAGTTGCTCAAGCCCAAAAGTATGGCATTATCATCAATTCCTTCTTTTCTCTCATATTCTACATATGATCTATCCCCAAATATATTCTGCCTTTAAACTTCAATTGGGATCTGACTACTTCACACATCTCCAATGTTGATAGCCTAGTCTGAGTCACTGTTTTTACAATAGCCACCTATCTGGCACTTAACTTCCCAACTCCCCAGAGCACGCAGAATGCAATAGAGTGATTCTGTTGTAATGTAAGTCAGAGCGTGTCACCCATGCTCAAAGTCCACCAGTGGCCTTACGACCAAGAGGCTACGCGATCTAGCTCACCATTATCACTCTGACTTCATCCCTGTTATCCTTTCTTTTCTTCACTCTACTCTAGTTCCCTCCTCTTAGTTCCTCAACACCAGGAACCTGCCTGCCTTGGAGATTTAGCACTTGCTTTCTGGAGTGCTCTTTCTCTCAATAGCCACATGATTCAATCCCTCATCTCCATTCCACCTTTGCTCAAATGTTAACTCCTCAGGGAGTTCTTGCTTGGCCACCCGTTCCAAAATTGCAACACTCCTATCCCCTCTTCATACTTTATTTTTCTCTAGGCCTTTATCTCTACCTAAAATTCTGCAAATTTTCCACATTTATTTTGTTGTTTCTTCCACTAGAATCTAAATTCCATGAGAGCAGAAATTTTGATCTGTTTCATTTACTTTTGAATCCCCACTCCCAACAATGTTTAGAAAATAGTCAACACCCAATAAATATTTGTTGAATGAATCACCAAGAGTATTTGAAAAAGACCAGATGGAACTGCTAGAAATAAAAATAAAATAATTGAAATGAAACACCTACAGGCTAGATTAAAGAGAAAATAATTTTTCAGAGAAAAACACAATATCAACAAAAGAGATACACGGCATGATTCATCTTATGAAGCTAGTATAAATTTGATACCCAAACCAGCAAGGAGCGTAAATAAGAAAAATCACAGACCAATTTTTCCCATAAAAATAGATACAAAAATCCTAAACAACATTTTATCAAGCAAAATCCAGAAATGTCTGAAAAATATATAACAGCCAATCTTGTGGTATAATTCCATTTATATAAATTTCAAAATTAGAGAACACCAACCATACAAGCATCCTTCATGATCCAAATCTACTTGGTACTTGAGTTCAAACAGTGACAGTTTCAATAATCAGTTGGGATATTTATGGGTACCTCAACTGAGTGTATTTATTTTTTAAGGTAACAAATGGTAATATTGACTTTTTGTGGGTTTTTTTGGTGTGCTTTTCTATGAATTTTGACCTATGTACAGATTCATGTCACCAAAATCAGGATGCAGAACAGCTCTATCACCTAATAAAATTCCCTCACACTATGCCTTTGTACCCACACTCTTTCCCAGACTCCCAATCCCTGGCACCACTGATCATTCTCCATCACTATAGTACCTTTGTGGTTCTTGTTTCTTTTTAGGACGTCACAGAAGTGGAATCATATAGATGTAACCTTTTGAGACCGGCTTCTTTCATTCAGAAAAATGACTTTGAGATTCATCCAAGTTGGTGCATTTATCAATGGTTCACTCCTTTTGATTGCTGAATATGGATGCACCACAGTTTGTTTATTCACTCACCCACTGAAGGACATTAGGATTGTTTCCAGTCTTTGGAGATGATGAATAAAGTTGCTATAAATACTTACGAGTTTTGGTCTAAACTCGAGTTTTCATTTCTCTTGGATAAATGCCTAGGAGTGAGATTGCTGGGTCATATTTAACTTTATAAGAAACTTCCAGAGTCGCTACATCAGTTTACCTCCCCACCAATAACGTCTGAGAGCTCAGTTGCTCCATAGTCTCAGCAGGACTTGGTATTGTCAGTATTTTTTATTTTAGCCACTCTCTAGGTGTGCGGTAGAAACTGAGACCTTTTGATTCCCAAAATTTTAGAAAGCAAACAGCCAGATTTTGATAATGAATCATCTAAAGTTCTATCTTAATTTATTTGGTGATTTGTTTGGATAGTAAGGGATACATGCCTGTGTGGTAAGACCATGAAGAGAGCAACAGATTGATTAGTATAAAGTAGGCAGTGGTTACTGCAAGTGGAAGGGGAGGTAGATGCCACTCACAGTAGGTCCACCAGGAGCTCTAAGATACTGATGATGTCTTAGTTATGAAGCATCATGATGGGTACATGTGACCTGTTTTATTATTATTCTTGAAACAATATCCATGTGTTTGATACATTTCACAATGAACAACTTTTAAAGAAACGTCTGAGCACACAACACACACAAAAATCCCCAAAGTAACGTAGAAAAATATTTTAAAAGCACTTCTTTCAGGAGTTCAAGTACAGTGAGCTAAAAATCTTAACATTTTGTAGAATGCGAACATAAGATTTTCTTAAGGCTTGTTTAAAACTAAAATAATTTCTTTAATATTTCTATGCTTATGTACACCCCATAGGCCAAATTGCTGATGGGCTAGCCAGTTTATTAATGAGCTAGCTTCTTCCCAGAAGCCTCACCCCACACACAGAAGGGCTGGTAACAGTAACAGTATTTTTAACAATCGGCAGAGAGTAGCTCCTTCCTAGAAACCAGGACCAGAACTCGACCTTATTTAAGAAGTACATTGAACATATCAGCTTTACTATTCACAAATTCTCAGACACCCCCCAGGTCACAATTGAGGCTACATGCTCTTCAGGAGCCTCTTTCTGTAGCCACTAACACCTTGTAAGGAGAACGTTTACCTGTGACAACACTGGGGATTTTGGAGAGAAAGCTCTTGACTGTTCTGATGGGCACACCGCCTGTCTTGTCATCTTGCATCTTTGTAATGATGTCTTCAATCTGAAAGAGGTTGAAGAAAAGAAGTATTACTGTCTCCCACAAAGTGATTGTAAATGACATCCTTATGAACAGCCAAAATGTGGGAACATGGATGCCAACAATAGCTATCAGGAAAAACCTCCACCTGGTCAGTCAATAAATGTATAGCAGGATCTGCTATGGACCAAGTGCTGGGGGTGGAGCGGCCGGGGATTAAATACAAGGGCATAAATTATGGTCTGTAAGGACGATACCCAGTTCAACAAGGTAAGGAGGGAGAAATACATTAGAATACTTGATAGGGTCCAACGTGTAATTCAATATATGTATAATGAAATTCCCCCTCCTTCCCAAATCGGGTTTATATAAGCATATGAAATTGCCATATCCAGCCTTAAAAAATGGCAATTTCCTATAGTTTAACTTAATATATTAACCAACAGCTGTTAGGATGTATAGGCAGGGTTGTGTTTGGGAAAGATAAGGATCCAGCCAGAGTAGCATAGGAGAAAAAATAAAGACTATAAATCAAGACATGGAAAGCTCTGATCTGGAGAAGTTGGAGGACAGGTCTCAGTGGTTGTGAGTGGTGGTGTGAGAGTGGTCACCTGGAGCCAGGACCAAGGTGGAGCAGCTAAAGAAGAGCACAGTATCAGAAGAAGGCCATGGTGGGCTGTGGCCTGGAGTCAGGTGAAATCTTACTAATGAAACAAGCTACTGTGTACATATATCGAACACAGAGCAGAGAGGGGAGATGGACTACCAGGGATGTAGGCGCCTAAACCATAAAACCAATTTGTAGCTAAAAATTTACAAGCCAGGACAGAATGTAATTTCCAGGACAGAAATCTTCAGAATAGGATACAGAACGATCTGTAACAAGGACATAGATCTTTTTGTTTTGTTTTGAGTGGAGGGAGGGCAACTAGAAGAGGGGAGAAAATATTGTGTAATTTTACTACACAGTTTGTTCCCCTAACCAATAAAATGTCTTTCAAACACTAGGATGGATTCTCTGAGTGCTTCCATAAAAGATTCACATAATTTTAAGTCTAGAAATTTAAAGCTGTAGCTTGTTTAGTCTAACGTACTAGGATTGCAATTTGAGGGTGAGTGAGTTTCTCAAAGTCACATGACTAACAACTTGTTTGAAAGAAATCGGTAACTTATAAGACACAGTTAGCATATGGCATAATTTAGTAATAATAATATACAACAGCCAAAATGTATTAAAAATTTATTATGTGGCGCTGGCCCCGTGGCTGAGTGGTTAAGTTCGCACACTCTGTTGCAGGCGGCCCAGTGTTTCGTTGGTTCGAATCCTGGGCGCGGACATGGCACTGCTCATCAAACCACGCTGAGGCAGCGTCCCACATGCCACAACTAGAAGGACCCACAACAAAGAATATACAACTATGTATCACGGGGCTTTGGGGAGAAAAAGGAAAAAAAATAAATAAAATCTTAAAAAAAAATTTATTATGTGCTAAGTACTACTCTAAATATTATACACACATTATGCCATTTAATCCCCGTGATTACTTCCTAAGCTAGATTACACTATTATCCACACTTTCAGATAAAGAAACTAAGATTTAGTGAGCTGTATCAATCAGGGTAGACTAGTTTAAGTTGTGGTAACAAATAACCCTTAAAATCACAATGGCTTAATACAACCAAGTTTTCTCTCTCATGCTACAAGTCTACTGCAGGTCACCAGGGGCACTCTGCTCATTGTAGTTCCTTGGGGACCCAGGCTGATGGAACAGCCACCATCTTGAATGTTGCTGGTCATCGTCCTAGAGGGGCAAGAGAGAATTCTGGAGACTCGCACTGGCTATTAAATGTTACAGCCCAGAGGTTATATATAATACATTTGCTCCCAATTCTCCGGCCAGAACTAGTCACATGGCACCACACAACCACAAAGGAGTCAGGGGTCCAGTCTTCTGGGTGCTAGAAGGAGAGGGGAACTGACCATCTGTGAGCAGCAGCAATGACCAGCATGGTTGTTAAACAACCTTCCCAGGGTCACACAGCTACCCAGTTGTGGATCTGAGTTTGAACCCAGCTGCAGACCCCAGATCTCAGGCTTCTACCCCTTGGGCTGCTCTGCCACCCAATAAGATGCCCAGAAAACCAGCCAAGCAGGGAGATCGTTCTCCCCCATGGATGGTTCCGGGTTTTCCTGAGAAGTACAGTTACGTCTTGCTTAATGATGGCGATACTTTCTGAGAAACGCATCATTAGGCAATTTTGTCATTGTGCAAACATCACAGAGTGTACTTACATAAACCTAGATGAGATAGCTCACAAAACACCTAGGCTATATGGTAGTAACCTTATGGGACCACTGTTGTCCATGCCGTCCATCATTGACTGAAATGTTGTTAGACAGTGCTTGACTGTGCCCCTTGGGCAGTAGATGAACACATCATGCTAGGAAAAAGGGTCGTTCTCTGAAGACCTGCATTCTGTTAAATGACAAGATAAGGATTTTCATCCATATTCACATTAATAATCTCAGCTAGTGCCCCCGCTTCTGTCCTCTAAACTCAACCCAATGATTCATAGTAGTTTGAGTATTACTTGCGAATAGCCGAGGAGAGCTATTCCTAGATAAGTGGTGATATTTTCAAAGTAATCTATGCTTTTGATCTAGTGTGCTATCTGAAACCAGAACTATCAGTTACATTGCTGCTTTCTATGGAATGGCCTGAAAATCAATGGGAATTGGAGGGAAGCCAATATTTCAATTTAGTTAGACCCCTGACTTGTCATTAGAAGGTAATCATTTCCAGTCTCTGCTCATGTGGGCTGGATTTAAAGACTGGCTGTGCAGAGGAAGTCTCCATGATTCTTTTCTCCTCCGCTCCGCTTAGTTGCTTCACCACACTACTGAATCTTAAAAGGCCTCATTTACTGAAGAGGAAGACCTATTTTCTCACGTTGCCCACCATGTACCAAGAGGTATATCACTCATCAGAGGTCACAGAGAGATCAAAAGGACAACTCCCTTAACTGGCCAGAATGGGGATTATGTTCCAGCAATAGTCTACAACATCAGAGATGTGGAAGAATGTTTCATTGGGCTCTACTGCGTGACTCCCCCTTGGTATTAATATACCCCCAAATTCTTGCCCTGGCCTGATGATGGGCAGAGAGTCTGCCCCTTGACTTTTGGGCTTGGCCATGTGACTTTCCAAGCTAATGGAATGTTAGCCGCGTGATGTGAGCAGAGGCTTTCAAGGTGCTTGCATGGTTATGCTTACCCTCTTCTCTTAGGAGGTTATCCCTATAGTTGGAATAGTTGTTATTCCAAGGAGGGTGAGAGACATATGGAGCAGAAAGAACCCAACCCATAGCTGGATCAGTCAAACCTCAGCTGACCCGCAGACTCACGAGTGAGAAATAAATGCTTATTGTTGTATGCCACCGGGTTTGGGGTTGTTTGCCTTGCAGCAAAATTGTGGCTATGGCTGACTGATACAACAGGGTTCTGAAAAAAACGAATTTATCAGAAATTGCTGAATCTACAACAAATACTTGGTAATAAGAATCAGTGAATCGTAGAGGTGGGGTAACCTAGAATCCAATCCTTTTTAAGAATGCAGAAATTCCATCTACCCCATCCACCATCTACTTAAAAAGTCTTCGGGTTTATTCTGCTCCATAGTCCATTCCACACTTGTGTCAGGCAAATTTGCGATAGCTGAGTTTGATTCTGAAGCAAGGTCCACTGCAACATCAGCCAATAATACTGTCTTTGAAATTTTTTGTCATGGTTTATGGAGAAATGCTAAGAGTACAGACCTACCAAAAAATCAAAACTGGGCTCCCAGGAGCATATATAAATTATAATGACAAATATTTTCAGAATATCTACATTATGATCAATATTGTCCCAGGTATTTTAAATAAACTGTTATCTAATTTATTTCTCAGTCTTAAAAGTTATTTAATAAAGATGTTGAAGTTGAGGCTCAGAAAGGTTAAGTGATTTATCCAAGGACACACAGCTAGTAAGTGGCAAAGCCAGGATTCTTACCCAAGTCTTCCTGACTTCAATGCCCAAGCTCTGTCTACCAAATGTAAGATGCATCTTTTTATCCTCACCCAGGGCCTGCCAACATGCCTTTCAGGTACCAGGCACTTAATACTCTTTGCATTGAAGGGAAAGTTTCGCTCCATCCTAAGGGAGTAGAAGAGGAAAAAGAGAAATTGATCCAGATAATCAGATTATCAACCATCTCGGGATTTACTTTGGCCCAAGGACTGCTGGTGTCTTGCTGCTCAGCATTCTCTCTCTTGGCCCCAAAGGCTTGGCTGGATTAATCTTCTACCGGTAGATCACAGCTCCTGGGCTGGGAACGGGGGGAGGGGAAGGTATATACTTATATTATCTTGACAGTTCAGTTCCATCTAACTTCTGGCACCTTTTGTTCCTGAAGAAGAGCAACATCAATTCCCTGACATCCTTTAATAGGAAGTTCTATGTCATTAGGGAGCAGGTTGGACTTGAGTTTCACTGTGCCGATCAATAAGCAGGTGGCCTTATCTGACAGCTAAGCGATGCAGAGAAACCACTTGGCCAGTTCGAACGGTTCTGCCTGGATGGGTCACAACAATCAGGATGCCCTTCTCCAAGGAGCTCCAAGCTCAGCACTGACATGCAGGTAAAACATTCTTCCAAACAGCAGGAAAAATGGAAACCATCCCACCATAGGGTGGATTTTCTTTGAAATGAGCAATATTATGAGACAGTAGATATAATTCACTGAAATAGCCATGGGCGTAAAAGAGGAGTGGGGAGAAGCAATCCTCTCTTTATGAACTGAAGCCGCAGCAGGACAGGAGGAAGAAAGCTGGTCTGAGGCCCAAGAGAAATTGGCCTCAGCTTCACTACTTGCTGTGTTCACCTTGGACGGGTTACCTAACCTCTCTGGACTTCCCTTCCCTCATGTCTGCAGTCCTAGGACCCGTTGCTAAACTAGTTCTGAAACGCGAGACTTCTCTGACTT